GAACTTCATTTTCTTCCCTGTAATGTGGCCAGAGTGAAGCCAGGATGCCGTCATTAGTAACGAGCACATTACCATCCGCAGGACAAAGACTCGTCAATTCAGAAAGCTGTTGGACATAAGAACTTTGATAGTATTTTAGGCCCTATTTTGAAAACCCAGCCATGTTTCCTATTAAATTACATGACTGATAGGTGCCGCTTATGGTTACTTAGTAAAAACTCCTGTTACTAAATGGCTCCAATGGATGTCTGTGTATTCATTTTGCCATCCAATACAAAGCATAAATTTTTCTTACTCCAGTAGCTCATCAAGCCCTTGAATCTTTCATCATAAGCTCATTGAAGCAGGAACTATGCCTGAGCCGTCCTCACAGCTTTGCAAGTGGCGTTCAATAAATGTTTCTCAAGTATTCTAAGAAGGACTCAGTGAGGTCACATCCCCATGAGGAAAAAGAACGCTGGGAATAAGTGATAGGAGATTTTTCATTAACCTTTCGTCCAGGTTAGCCGCTGACTTTTTTGGCAACGAGAACCTGGTTCCTTGACCCCCATCAAATAGTTGATATCACTGGGTTTTCAAGAAAAATAGTCGCCACTGCCTGACTTCAACTGTTGCTGATAAGAGTTCATGTGGGCTGATTTTTTTGGTTACACCCTGGATTCCTTTGTGAGAAAAGGGAAAGTAGTGTGAATTAATGACTGTAACTAATTATGATCTGCTTCCTTTGTTTAGGAACTTATCTTTCATTGCTATTTGTTTGCCTTGAGAAATAAGGAAGTATGGGTTGCAGATGTGGGCACTGGACCTGAGAGTCCTTAGAAGTAGATTCTACTGGGCTGGACACAGTGGCTCATGCCTGTAATCCCAGCACTTTGGGAGGCTGAGGCGGGTGGATCACCTGAGGTCGGGAGTTAGAGACCAGCCAGACCAACATGGAGAAACCCCATCTCTACTAAAAATTCAAAATTAGCCGGGCGTGGTGGCGCATGCCTTTAATCCCGACTACTCAGGAGGCTGAGGCGGGAGAATGGCTTGAACCCAGGAGGCGGAGGTTGCAGTCAGCTGAGATCGCACCATCGCACTCCAGCCTGGGCAACAAGAGTGAAACTCTGTCTCAGGAAAAAAAAAAAGTGGATTCTGCTGAACCGGTGTTGTGCAACCTGGGGCATGTCACGGCCTTTTCCCAGGCCTCAGTTTCCCTATCTGTGTAATAAGACTTGATGATATGATCTCTATTGTCCTTCCCTATTCAAAGAGTTATGATCTGGGGCCGCTTTTCCTAAAGTCTGTGCTCCACTGACCTTCCTTTTCCCACTCTACCCAGACCCCACATGTCAGTTACTGACTAATCTCTGTTTTGTGCTTCTAGGTTTTCTTCGTGTCTGACCTCTTCAAAACTAAGACGACGCTATCCCTGCCTGCCCCCACTATCCGGAAGGAAATCCTTTCACCTGTGGACATTATTGACAGGAACAATCACCACAACATGGTGTAGGTGCGGCCCACCCCCTGAGCTGTTTCTGTAAAATGACTGCTGACAGCAAGTTCTTGCTGCTCTCCAATCTCATCAGACAGTAGAATGTAGGGAAAAACTTTTGCCCGATTGATTTTTTAAAAGAAAAAAAAAAAGTTTTACTTTGTGGCCTTCCAAAATAGGTAGTGTTCACCTATGCGGAAACACAGCAAACTAACGCCAAGTGCCGGAGTCCTGAATGTGGAATTGGTTCGAGTGTTCATGTTCTAGTGAACACGGCTTGTTCGGGAACAAACACTAAAATGATTGGAGTAGAGGCTGCTGGTCACCTTTGTGACCTGAGGAATCCCAGGCCTGTGAGAAAAGCAAAAATTCACATTGTAGCACACAATGCCAGAAATAGCACTGAATTGAGAAAATAGCCATTGCGGGGCTGCCCTCTTGAGTCTCTCTGTCCATCCCATTCTATTCTGTACTGTGACTTTAGTTCAGGAAGTTTTGTTTTGTCGTTTAAATAGAAGGAAAGAGCAAGTTTGCTCAGTCAAGTGATCAGATCCTGAATCTAGATTCCCAGTCCTATGACTTTATCACCTTCCCTGCCCATAGGCCAACAACCATAGTTCCTCACATTAGTGATTAGCGGACTCTTTGTGGACGAGTGAATTTCACAAATAGCACAATTTCAGAAGAAATCGAGGTCACAGGCCCTCACTTTTCTTCTTTTGACGCATCATCCTGTGATGTTGAAATGTCAATTGCAGGATGCTGATGTTGTGCGCATCAATCACCGGGCACTTGCACACTCTTAGAAACAGTTCGACTTCGGTTACTGCCTTGAAATCCTTGCTGCGGGCCCACCAGGATTTCCTGTGAGGGCCCAGGGATGAGCAAGGCATGGTCTGCCACCAGCTGATGGAAAGCAGGCTTCTGTACAACAGATGGGAGAGTGAAGGGGGCAGAATGAAAAACGAACCAACGTTTTGGTTGTTGCAAATCAGAAGGAGCCAGAGAAGCAGGCAGTCTCATGCCTGAGGGGCTACCCTTCAGGATGACAGAGCTGAGGGTCTTTGTAGGAGTTGCTCTTGCTAAGCTGTGTAAAGCACTATTGTCTTGGGGTTGACCCCTAGGGCAGTTCTTGGTAGGTTCTGCTGGGCAGAACATATGGGTTAAATCTCGGTAGAGAGTTTTCCTCATCCTTTATCCATAAGTGTCCTTCCATGCAAGGTCCCGCTCTAGGTGGTAGACAGGGACCCCTTCTACTGAACCTTTGAGGAAAGGAGGAAGGAAGAAATGCGTTAATAGATCTTGGATGCAGACCTTTTCAAAGGGTTACGTGTAACCATATGGATCAACCACATGCACATCCTGTAGTAATACAGAATCCGTCCTTTCATTTCAACTTATAGCAAGCTATGATTTTTATATATAAATATTATATAAATAATGTATAAAACATTAAAAGTTAACTATGTAAAATATTATTTCTGAAACAATTTTAGCTCTATCCACTATGATTATAAACTGTGTCTCGACCTGTGTTATTTACATTAGCTGCTTTAAAAAGCATTGAGTTAATTTTTTTAAAAATATCAACTAAAGTATCGTAGTTCTGTGGTAGACATTGTTTTATAATGAAAGAAATAACTGCAACTAGAGAAAACTGTATAAAAACATTAAATTGTCAGTATTTTTGTAAGGTTCCATTTTGTAAAGAGAATAATATTCAAAGACTTTTGTAGCATACAAAGTGAAAACTTGTATCTGCGAAACTATACTTGTATTAAATGTGCTTTTTAAATAAAAGCTCGTAACACAACTAATTATGAATTACAAGCCTGGAGTGTTTGAGAGATGTCTGTCTCAGGTGTGTGGGAAGGAGGAGGAGGCATCGAGGGCTGGCCTCTTTGAGTGTGCTTGCCTCATCTCAGGGCACCAACTCTCGATTTTTTCAGTGGGGAATGTGGTGGTCATAGGGTAGACACGGACGTCTGCCCTGCTCTTTCATCTCTGAAAGCCTGCTTGCAGAATGAGGCCCTGGCTCTACTCTCATCTCAGTCTCTTCTAAAGAGTTTTTGTATTCTAAAGGGGATTTTTCCATCAGGGAGGTAGGAGCTGTGGGAACCCCAAAGACAGATAAGCAGCCTTCACTCTAGATAAGGTGCGCTGCGGGAGCTTACCGAGGGAATCCTGCACACAGCTCACATCAAAGGAAGGCACGTGCACCACTGAGAATGGATAAAGCTCCTGCTTCCTTCCTTGTGTTTCTTCTGCAACCTGGAAGAAAAAGGGAAGCTAGAAATTCACATTTATCAAACACCTGTGTTACAGGGATTTCTGCCTATTTGTTCTGCCGGATCTTCACAGCAGTTCTTATTTGAGAAATAAGGAATACTAAGGAATGCAAACATGAAACAATTTGTCTAAGATCCTAGAGCAGTAAATTGTAGGATAGGTCTTATATTAATTTGCTATGGCGGCTACAACAAATTATCACAAATTCGAAACAACGTAGATAGATGTATTGTCAACAATCTTGGAGACTAGGGGAGACCCTGTTTCCTTGCCTTTTCGATCTTTAGAGGTCACCCACTTGCCCTGGCTTGTGGCCCTCTTCCTCCATGTTCAAAGCCAGCAACATTGGGCTGAGTCCTCCCTCTGCTATCTCTTTGGTTCTCCTCTTCTGCCTCCCCTTTCACATGTAAGGGCCCTCCCTGGTGATTACATGGGCCTGCTCATAATCTAGGATAATCACCCTATATTAAAGTCAGCTCACTGCAAACTTAATTCAATCTGCTGCCTTAATACCTCTTTGCCATAGAACATATATTCACAGATGCGGGATTTAAGACATGGACCTATTTGGGGAACCATTGTTCAGAATACCATAGTTCACCCTTTGGCCTTCAAAAGATTTGCATCCATCCCACATGCAAAAGAGATCACCCTATCCCCAGATTCCCTAAAGACCTGTCATATGGCAGCATCAAGTCAAAATCCTAAATCTTAATGACTTAAAAATCCCAAATCTCATTATCTAAACTAACCCATTCAAATTAGGTAAAGAGGGAGCTCCATGTTTAATCCACCCTGGAATACAGTTTTTCTCTCTGAACCTGTGAAACGTAAGTTATCTGCTCCCTAAATTCAGTGGTGGGACAGGCATAGGATAATAGTTATAGGCTTTCCTATTTAAAAAGGGAGAAAAATAGAAGGAAAAAAAGAAGTCATCAATCCCACACAGCTTCAAAATCCAGCCAGGGACCAGGCATGATGGCTCACTCCTACCTGTAATCCCAGCACTTTGGGAGGCCGAGGCAGGCAGATCACTTGAGGTCAGGAGTTCAAGACCAGTCTGGCCAAGATGGTAAAACCACGTCTGCATACTAAAAAATACAAAAAAATTAGCTGGGTGTGGTGGCACATGCCTGTAATCCCAGATACTCTGGAGGCTGAAGCAGGAGAATCACTTGAAGCCAGGAAGCTAAGGTTGCAGTGAGCCAAGGTCATACCACTGCACTCCAGCCTGGTCAACGGAGCAAGACTCTGTCTTTAAAAAAAAAAAAAAACCCAGCCAGGGAAGATCCATTTGGCTTCAAGGATTGGAAATAGACCCAAGTATGCCTCTTCTCTTGCCACCAAGGTCAGCCTGCTCTTTGCTGCTACGCAAATTGCCACCAAGGTCAGCCTGCTCTTTGCTGCTACGCAAATCAACTCCCTCCAGCCCCTAGAACAGCTCAGCAATTTCATGCATTTTTCCGTAAGTGGTGATGTCTCTTTGGGCCCCAAAATGTAGCTAGGAAGATCTTTAAGGACAGAGTCCAAATTTTCACTTCAAATCTGAAGAACCAATGTCCAGAGGGACAGGACCACCCTTGTTGGGGGTGGGAGAGGGAAGGTGCCCAGGGAGTGGAGGGACTGGTGAGACCAGAGCCCAAGCCTTATGATCCTAGTCCCCAAGCCTTTCCATTTTACCTTCCAACAGTACTTGACAAACCAACCACCAGAAGTATCCCCGTTTCATGGAGACCTAAGGAAACAGCGGAGCTGCATGCTATTGTGAGGAGCAGTATGATGTGGAGAGGGAAACAAGCACTTGGGGACTCAGACCCAGATTGCAGTCTGGCTCTGCCACTTACTGGCTAGGTGATGTGACTTTGGACAAGTTTCTTAACCTCTCTGAGCCTTGGGTTATTGCTCAGTAAAGATGAGGTTCTTCTTTGTTCATGGCATTCTGTGAGCCTTGACTTGCTTCTTTAACTGTTTTTCGTGGGCTAACAACAAAATTTGTATCCCTGGGGAGCTTGGTAGAAATATAGACCTAGGAGATCACTACCCCTTCCCAACCTACAGAATCAGAATCTTCCTTTGGGCAAGATCCCTAGGTGATTCACATGCACAGTAAAGTTTGAGAAATACCTCCACTCTTTGCTCCTTAAACTTGCAGGCTCTGTTCAGGTGTGCTGCCCCCAGCCACACTCCTTCAGGGCTTGGCTCAGAGCATGCTGGGTGCAGACATCAGTAACCTCTTAGCTTATATTATGTACCAAAATTGCATGTATAAAGGTCTGTATCAATACTGTCAGATTCTCATGGGTAAATGCAAGTCTTATCCTCTGCAAATCCTGCATTTCTGCCTGGCATTGAATAGTTCCCGGCAATTTTGAACCAATTAATAATCATCCGGGTCAAAAAGTCACATGACTGTTGGTAACCATCCAATTAAACGGCCACAGGGTATAGAGAATTGCAAAACATTGACCCTGTTAGGAATTCATGAGGTCTTAAATTTTCTCTGAGGTAGAGATAGAAAAAAGAAAATAAAAAAACATTAACAGCTCTAAATCTGCACTAGATTTCTACCATTTAGAATGAATTCATATGTTTATTTATTTACTCTAAAATATTTCCAAAGAACCTTTTATGTGTAAAATCCTGACCTAGTTACTTTCATGCGTTCTGCTTCATTTGAATGTTCAAAAACAACTGTTAAAGTAGATATGATTGGGGGAAATAGAGAAGTTGGTTGATAAGTACAAAAATACAATTGATAGAAGGAATAAGTTCTAATATTGCATAGTATATTTGAGAAATTGTAGTTAACAATAATTTATTGTATATTTCAAAATATCTAGAAGAGAAGAATTTTAATTTTCCCAACATAAAGAAAAGATAAATGTTTTAGGTGATGGGTATTCCCATTACCCTAATTTGATCATTGTACATCACATACATGTATCAAGTATCACTTGTACTCCAAATATTTGTACAACTATGATATATCAATAAAAAAATACAAAAGAGGCTGGGCACGGTGGCTCATGCCTGTAATCCCAGCACTTTGTGGGGGCCGAGGCTCACCTGAGGTCTGGAGTTCAAGACCAACCTGATTAACATGGAAAAACCCTATCTCTACTAAAAATACAAAAATTAGGCGGGCATGGTGGCACATGCCTATAATCTCAGCTACTCGGGAGGCTGAGGCAGGAGAATTACTTGAACCCAGGAGGTGGAAGTTGCGGTGAGCCGAGATTGCACCATTGCACTCCAGCCTGGCCAACAAAAGCAAAACTCCGTCTCAAAAAAAAAGAAAAAATATAGCTATGAATAGTCTCGTTTTACTGAGTGAGAAACTGAAGCTGTTAAGAATCTTGTTTTAGTTCACACATCTAATACGGGATAGATCTGGGATTCTGATCTAAACGACTTCAGTTATCCGTTGACTAATATTTATTAATCACTTCCTGGGTACCAGACACTGGTAAACACTGGAAGTAGAACAGTAGATAAAATGGAATGCCAGCTTCAAGGAGCTTATGGTCTAAAGGGGAATACAAACAATCAGATTACAAATATGTAAGTAAGAACTGGGATGAGTGTTCTAAAGAAAGAAGGCAGGAAGAGCCATGAGAGCTCTCAGCAGGAGGACCTGCTATTGAGAAGGACTTCCCTGAGACCCACCTAGGGCTAACGCCTGATTACAGCACTGACTCAACAAAGCCTGACTCAACAAAATTAAGGAAAAGAGCCTGGCCTTTCATGAGCCTAAAGCCTAGAATGTAGGTCTAGTAAATAAGGAGTAAATCACAGTAGTGTGATGGGGAGGAGAGGGCTTTATGAAGCGTTGTGGCATGGAAGAGGTCAGAAAGACCTCGAAGCTCTTCGAGGTGGATCTGCTCCCTACCCTGTGTAAGCATCCCATCTAGAAAATCTGACTCTGACAAGAAATGTGAGATTTGTTTGTTTTTGCATAAACCCCTCTAATACAGTTTGGCTCTGTCCTCACCCAAATCTCATCTTGAATTCCCACGTGTTGTGAAAGAAAGCCAGTGGGGCATGACTGAATTATGGGGGAGTCTTTCCTGCACTGTTCTCGTGATGTGAGCAAGTGTCACAAGATCAGATGGTTTTATAAAGGGGAGTTTCCCTGCACAAGCACTCCTCTCTTGTCTGCTGCCATGTGAGATGTGTCTTTCACCTTACGCAGTGATTGTGAGGCCTCCACAGACGTGGAACTGTAAGTCCCATAAGCCTCTTTCTTTTGTAAATTGTTCAGTCTCAGATAGATCTTTATAAGCAGTGTGAAAATGAGCTAATACAATAAATTGGCACCATAGAGTGGGGTGCTGCTGATCTTCCAGGCCTCCATTTTTTTTTTTTTTTTGAGGTGGAGTCTCATTCTGACGTTCAGGCTGGAGTACAGTGGCACAATCTCAGCTCACTGTCACCTCTGCCTCCCAGGTTCAAGCAATTCTTCTGCGTCAGCCTCCCGAATAGCTGGGATTACAGGCACACACCACTACACCTGGCCAATTTTTTGTATTTTAGTAGAGACGGGGTTTCACCATTTTGGCCAGGCTGGTCTCGAACTCCTAACCTCAGGTGATCCACCACCTCAGCCTTTCCATGTCTTCTAAAAGAAGACAGCAAATAAGTGAATTATCAGAGATAAATATTAGTGTCCGGGAGGCTTTGGTAGTATTCTTTTGATTCCCGAACTGTGTAAATAATAAGAAAAAGGGAGACAATCTATTTTTAAAACTTCTTAACAGGATATACAAGTAAGAGATAAACATATAAAAGCATGCTCAACTTTTTAGCCATGGGGAAATGCACTTTAAAATTACAATGAAATATCATTGCATACCTATGACATTCTTGTCTAAATTTAAAAAACAGAAAACGAAAAACAGCCATAGTGCCAAGTGTTGGTGTGGATGTGAAACAATTGGAACTCTCATTCACTGCTGGTGGGTATGTACATTTCTACAATCACTTTGAAAAACCTTGCCAGTATCTACTAAAGCCAAAAATACACATACCCTCTTCTCCAGAAACTTCACTCCTAAAATATATATCCAACAGAAGGAAATATGTGTGCTCAAGATATGTACAAGAATGCTCATGACAGCACTATTCAAAACTGGAACAAACCCAAGTCCCCATCCACAACTGAGCACTAATTAAATAATGGAATTAAATGTTTACATGAAGAATACCATTTAGCAATAAAAACCAACAAACTCTTTGTATATACAACAATAGGAATGATTTGCACAAAAAGAATTTTGAATCAATGAAACCTGGCACAAAACAATCCATACTATAGGGTCTCATTTTAATAAAGTTCAAAACAGGCAAAACTCATCAATGGTGATAGAACTCTGATTGGTGGTTACCTTTGGAGCTGCACATTGACTGGGAGAAGACTTGATCTGGGTGGCGGTCACTGTGTGAAAATGTATGAAACTGCATGCTTATGATTTATGAGCTTGTCTTTTTGTATCTCGTACTTCACTTTAAAGGAGAAATGAGGGAAGCTTGTATAAACAAAACGTTTAAACACCAAAATAAAGAGGAGACTGATAGTATATTGGCAATATTACCTCTTAAATAGCTTTCAAATCCATCCCTGACCACTAACTTATGCCAGGCCTCATTAACTCTTTCTTAGCCTATTGCAAACAGCCTTTTTACCTGGTCTTCGTGCCTCCATTTACCCTCTGCTAAGACCTCCTCCACTCACAGGCTGGGGGACCTTTCCAAAGCACAAATCTAATCATGTCACTCACTTGCTTAGCATGGAACTTATTCTTATTTTTAAATTTTATTTTATTTTGAAAATATACTATAATACAGAGAATAACATGAGACCTCTGTGCCTACCATTCAGCTGTAACAAATTAGCATTGCATCATATTTTTCTTGATCAAATGTTGTTGTTGTTATAGAATAAACCATGAAGATACCCTTTAAGCCCAGTCCCTCCATTCCGCACAGTCCCTCCGCAGCTAACCACTATCCTGAATTTTGGTATGTGTATATGTCTTTTAAATTCAGGTTTTCTTACTTGACCCAAAGTATGTATGCATCCATGTGCAATATAAAGAACTAATTGTGAGTTGTAAATGCTTATCTATGTAAATATTATTAAAGAAGTATGCATTTTTACAACATATTCTGATTATTCTATGTTGTATTTTGTAGTCTGTATGAGATGGCACACAGATCTGGTGTGGTTCATTTTAGCCACTATGTGGTGTCATTATGTACGAATAAATCATAATTTACGCATTCATTATAATACTGATGGACATTTAGATTGTTTCCGGTTTTTCACTATTGCAAATAATGAAGTAACAGAGACCCTGTGTTTTCTCCTTATCCAAGTCGGAGAGTCTTAGTCTCCATAGACTTACAAATGGAATCACTGTATGGTAGAATATATACATCTTGACTTTAATAAATATTGCCATAAATATTTATTAATAAATATTTAATAAATAGTGCTCTTCAAAAGAGTTGTATCAAATTTATGGTTTTAGCAGCAGCACCTGAGATTGACAATTGATTTCCATCCTCAGCTATTTGAAACTATGACAGTTATTGTTATACTTTTAAATTTAGTCTGATAAGGATGAATAAGAAAAATCTCTTTGGGCTTTAATTTTCATTTTTGACACTAAATAAGTTGCAGTTGCATGGTTTATAATTTTGTGTCATGAGTTTATCTATAGCAGGGTTTGTGTTTTTTTCTGGGAATCCCATATGGCCTGATCTCTAGAAAGCAGTTTTGTGTTTGCTTTTGTCAGGAAGGAGATACAGGGGCTTCTCTGACCCTGTGCTAGGCAAATCTAATCATGCCATTCTCTTTCAAAACACTCTACAGAAAATTTTCAAAAAATAGTTCAAAGTGCTTGGCTAGATACGTAACAGTGAATGAGTTGGCC